GGGGAGAACACCCTGAAACAAATATGGCTAGATGGCAAAACCCATTCACTCTGTGCAGGTGGGTACCTATTTTGTGTTTGTTGTTTTTTTTGTAGCATTTGACAAGTATACACGTTTTTATTCCTATATCACTGTAATACGACATATAATCACCATATAGTTTTATTTCCCCCTACCCATTTCTATTTTCTAAAATGTGATTTTAACCCATTCACACCTATACTCATCCTGGATTCATTGATACCATTGGTCTTTATTTTTATCATGCTTTCTAGAAATTTCTTTCCTTCCCATAGACTGTGTGTATTCTTTAGTCAAATTTTTTCCCCTTTAGAACGCCTATCAAGTTGATTCTGACTCATAGAACTGTTCCCTAGTATTTCTGAAGATAGCGTCCTCATCTTTCTACTGTGGAACAACTGTTTAGATCCAGAATTTTCAGGGGAACCATTTTGCTTTCTACTGTTCAGAACATCAAAAATCTCTACTTTTGATGCAACGGCAAGCAATCAATTATCAAGTCACTCAGTTACCACTATTATCACAAAATCAAACAATTCAAATATACAATGCAAAACCAAAGGGAGAATTTTAATAAGCTTTTACTGCACTGCAATTACAGGAACCTCCAACATGCAACAAAAATGATCATGTCTTTTGGATAGAGTTAACAAATAAAATTGTCATTACAATTAACAGCAACATATTGTATTTGAGAAAACAAACGCAACTTATTTCAACTTTCAGGTTAGAAAATTTGTGTTCTTACTTCAATCTCAAGTAGCATTTAGAAAGCTTAATTTTCCATTTCTAATTTCTAAAAGACAATATGATTAAATACAATCAAACACAAAGTTTTTCCACATTGGAAATAATCACGATTAATTGACAGGTTTAGTATAACTGATGGGCTTCATTTCAATTGTTAAACTTGAGAAGGCTCCTGCAGTATTGTGGATTTCAGATGGGGAAAATAACCAGACCAGGAGTAAACAGCCTTGGTCTTCACAGTGGGGGAGGGAACATGCAGCGGCACACGGGACAGGTGCCTGACTTCTGAAGCCAAATGGACACACAAGGCTTGTGGAAATAGTGGTGGCAAGGGAGCTCAGTTGCCACCTCCCCTTTCACATATTCACTGCAGCAGATGGGACAACACATTTCCTGACCAACTGCACCGTGATCTTCAGTGACTAGGATCTCCGGAAGAGTGTCAATGCTCTCCTTGCTTGCTGGTGGATTGGCCACCTCCACATCCACTGCAAGGGACTCCAAGTGTGCAAGGGCAGTTTCCATGGCCTGAGCCAGGCGTTCTTCAAGTGCCATGTAGGTGAGGAACTGAGGATCCACATAGGAAATGGCTTCAGCCACTCCTAGTCCATCGGCAAAGCCATCAAAGAGGCTCCAATCCACTTCTAAGTCTTCACTCACACTGGAGTCATCTTCAAGGTTGTTGTTCCCATCCAACATAAACACACCAGTATGCATAAACTCAGGACCGGATTCATTATCGCCCTCACTGCTACTCTCATTTTCATTATACTGGAGCCAAGGAATTTCTCCTTCGTCCGGAGATACTCGGTCCTCCTTCTGAGGAGCTGGTTCTTGAACTTTTGAAAGATAATTGCTGCCATTACTGCTAGCACTGGCACTGGCACTGGCGCTGGCACTGGGGCTGGCACTGGCACTTATTGCCAGCTGCTCAGGTCCATGCTCTTCCTTCCCTGGGAGAGTCTCCCAGCTATCACCACTTGAGGACAGATTTTGCTCTTGACCGCGATACTTACGACGCAGAGCAGCAGTCCACTCTTTGTCACTGTCAGAGTCTTCATCACAGTATCTGTAGTAATCATCACTGTAGGTCCAGAAGTCAGCATCAAACATGGTTCTACGTCGTCTCGGCATCTTTTCAATTTTCACTTGGTCATTCCTTGCTTCCTTCTTTGTTTCAGAGCACTTCAGCTCAGAGTAGCCATTTGAACTTTTGCCTCTGCCTCTTCTTGCTAGGCCATCTGGATAACTTTCATTAGTGTTGGCAGTATCTCTCCATCTGGAAATACTATGTGGCATATCATCATCATCATCATCAGTATCAAAAAATATTTTGGGTTTCACACAATTCGGACTTGCAAGATTTCTGATTTTGGGCCTCACTACCAGTTCCTCTGAACTCAGTAGGGTGTTTTCCCCACCACCACAAATACTCACAGGAGCCCTGCTAGAATACTCAGGTAAGTTCTTCTCCTGTCTCTCCTGCTCTGAGCTGTTACCATTTGTAGACACCTTGTCTTCAGCAGAAGACATGCCATTTTGCTGCATAAATTCAGCTCTCTTAGCAGAGCATCTCACTGCAGAGGCTGGGTCTAGCTTGTCAACCTTCTCTCTCACATCACAGTTAAAACTAGAGGACTGTGGTGGCATCCCAGCCAAAGGTCTTGCCCCTTTCTCTGGGTCATACAGCTTATCATCTTTAAACTTGTCAGTTTCCCCTCTCCCAGGGCCTCGTTCCACAAGCTCAGCCCCCTCCTCATCACTATCATCAGTCCCATAGGAGTCAACATGTCCATAAGCCATTCCTCTTCTGTTACCTGGAGCCCTGTACTCTCTTGGCAGATACCTGGAATAGTCCTCATTGTCAACATTCAGACTGCTTCCCGAGCTCTCACTGTCATCCCAACTACGGCGACTGGTGGGAAATGGTGATCGGCTTCTCTTGGTGGTTTGACTGGCGGCTGATCTGTGCATTGGGACTTCAGATGTCGTCTTTCTCTGGCTGGAAATCCTTTCTTGCTTGCTCTCGGGTGGCCTGAAACTGACATAAGCATGCCTTCTTCCATATCTCCTGCCTGTAGTGGACTGATACCTTCCTGCTGGTTTGGGCCACACAGGCTTGCTAGCTAGATTCCTGACCCATTGCTCTGAGTTAGGAAGGTTACCAATATAGGTGGGGCATGGGTGAGAGGTTCCTGCTCCCTACACATGCTTTTGAGATGGGACAGTCAAATAAGTTCAGAATAAAGGAGCAAGTTTAATTTTCATTTCAGCAAGTAGGTAGCAAAGAATAAGGGGCCTTAAATTTTAATTTCATTGTCTTCTAAAGCCTGGAATAACATTCCAGTGACTGTCAGGTGTGGACCTGAAACAAGTTCTTAATGTTGGAAAAATGTTTACAAAACTGTGTTTGTAGGGAAAGTCAGACTTAGAATCTGACAGAAGGTGGGAGATGGCTAGATGCTTGGAAGGTGCTTGAAATACTGTGGAACTGTGCCAATGTGGGAAGAAAAACTGCTGCAGTTTTTGTTTGTTCGTTTGAAATTTTCTGAGTCGTCCAGACATATAGGAGAAATGCAATTTTGAAAATATAAATCACTATGTGTACATCAGTGCAATGTGCATGTCAGGAGAAAGGCAAGTGTAACATGTACTAGAAATCCTGCCATGAGGGATGTCTCTCTGTAGTGGGGAGGGGTAGGCAACAGAGTGCTGTGTTAGTTGGAATGAGACTCACTCTAGATGTGGGTGTGAAAATGGCAGGCATGGGTGGAGTAGCATCATAGGAGTGAAGTCTGTGTAAGTATAAGACAATTAATGTGTAAGTATACGACAAAGAGAAAGTGTGTGTATGTGTGTGTGTGTGTGTGTAGTTGTATGTGTTTGTGGCAGGTAGTAATGTATGGGGGAATGCCTATCTTCATATGTATGTGACTGGCAGGGAAAAGTACAGTGGCATTGCAAGGTGTATCCATGAGTTTTGTGTGTGTGTGTGTGTTCATATGTTTGTCCAAATCGGAGGTAGCAATAGAGAAATGTGAGCAAATGCAGCAGGAAGGGGGTGGTTCTGCAGAGAGGAAATGTGTGCAGTAAGTGAAACATGGACACCCATGGAATAATATGGATATAGCAAGCTGAGAGGGGTGGCATCCCTGGAAAATGATTTATGTGTGATTCACATCTATGTGAATCAGCAAATGAGGGGTGTCCATACACAAATGTGGCAGACAAGGGGGCAGGGCAGAATAGTGCTTAGAAGGGTATGTGATGAGTTTATGTAAAAGTACATGCAGGCAACCAAAAGAGGAAAAGGAGCCAACAATAGATGTCCCTATATGCATGTGTGGCAGACATGAAGAGTGTAAGAGTGAGAGTGTGTGTGTGTGTGTGTGTGTGTGTGTGTGTGTGTATCAATGGGCATGCACTTGGAGCAGTAGCACTAGAACCTAGAATATAAAGGAGGAAGGGGATGGCGCTGTGATTGAAGGTTCCATATGCACGCAGGTGTGGAAATAGGGAGATGGAGGGGCCATCAATTCTATGATATGAGAAATGAAAAAAATGTTATCAACTCAAACTGGCAGACCCAAATCAATGTGGCATGGAAAGGGTGTCAGGGAAGGAGGCTGGTTACAGTTTTCCCCTAGGAGTGTTTGTTTTTTAGGGGGTTTGATTTGTTTTTGTTTTTTTCCCTGTAAATTCCTTTCCTGGGAACAATATTTTTACTTAATAACAATCTTAACTATTTACCATTCTGTGAGACAAAAGGCAAATGGAGGAAAAAAAGGCTTTGGGGTACTTCTCAAAGGGAAAGAAGTAGAGAGAAGTGGGAGAGGACTGCGACCACCACTCCCCCTCTCAAATATCGACTAATGTCTTCTGAGTGGAGGCCACGCCACCCGGAGGGACCAGAAAAGCAAGATGGAACCCCTAAACAGGCCTCACTCCGCAGTCAGATCCCACGTCCGCCCCAGCCCTTTCGGAGGGGCAAACTTGAAAAACGTTTCACTAGAACCCCACCCCCACCCCCCAAATCCCTGACCTATGCCCAGCCACTAGACCCCACGGCGGGTCACTCATCCCACTACTAGTGTTTGGATGGATTGAGGATATAGACAGCCCTCCACTCACCCACAGTCTGGATACCCGCAAGATCTTCCGTGGAGCAGAGCTTTTGTAGCTCCCACCACCAGGACCGCCAGAGCCACTGCGCTCCGGTCTCCAGCTCCTCCCCCCACCAGACGGCAGCGGGACTTGCAGCTGCAGTGCCGGAAGTGATTGTGGTGAAGACTGGAGCCCGCCCACTTGATGGGGAGGGGAGAGGGAGGCAACAATGTTGGACAAATCAGGGTGTGCCTGAAAGCATTACTGTATTTCATTTTGAATGACGACATCATCAAGGATACAGGCAGTAAAAAAATCGAGATTTTAAAATGCTAACCATGTTCCCTTCTGTTGTCTCTCTTAATATAGGAAATAGAAATTTCGAATTATTTCTGATTAATTCCAGTGTGAGCATAATTATATTAGCATATCATCATATCCTGTGGTCTAAAGACATCTGGTGGCTTAATTGTTAAGCCGTCAGCCGCTGGTGGTTGCAACTTACTAGCCACTCTGCGCAGAAAAATGTGGCAGTCAGCTTCCCTAAAGATCACAGCCTTGAAAACTGCGGAGCAGTCCTGTTCTGTCCTGCAGGGTCACTGAGTCAGAATCCTAATTGACGATAGTGGAGTATATGTTGGTCCATGTTATGGAAGTATTAAAATTTTTTCACACTATATTTAAGATTCCCAGAAATTTACATTTTGTGAACCTGGTTACTGAGACAAATTGAAGGTCTTTCCAGTAGAATAATACTAAAAAAAATTCACTTCCATCCAGTTGATTCCAACTCATAGCAACCCTATAGAACAGGGTAGAACTGTCCCTGTGGGTTTCCAAGACTGTAACTCTTTACAGGAGTAGAACACTTCATCTTTCTCCCCGAGTGGGCTGGTGGTTTCCAACTGCTGACCTCCCGCTTTAGCAGCCCAACACATTCATTGTTGTTAATGACATCAAACTTCTCTACAAAAAAAGAAAAACATGATCAAGAAACATGTCATGAATTCGCAGTCTGGTGATTGCATTACATTAGAAAGAACAACATTACAGCTGTGCCTTTGGGGTTCATACAATATTAGTGAACTCTGAACCTGGCATTAAAATGCACTAAATAACGAAATCAAAGCAAAATCTCATCTTAAGCATTTTATTTAAACTAAACAACCTGATTCTCACTGCCATTGAATCAATTCCAACCCTGTATGACAGTAGAACTGCCCCTGTGGGTTTCTGAGACTGTAAATGTGTGTGGCGGTGTAAAGCCTTATCTTTCTTCCATGGAGCAGCTGGTGCAAACTGCTGAGGTTGCCATGAATAGCCCAACTCATAGCCCACTAGTGGAGACTAGGGCTCCTTAAAAAATCCATTTAGGTACTGTTTATTGTGCAAAAATTGTTATTATTGTGTGCCACCATGTCAATTGCAACATATAGTGACTTTATATGGCAGAATAGAACTGCTCCCAGAAGATTTCCTAGACTGTAATCTTTACCAGAACAGAGCTCCCACTGGCACTTCCAGGTGACTGTTTTACCTTGTAACATTAGGGTTCCTAAAGCTGATATAGGAATGAAAATATATACCTGTTAAGTACTATCAGAAATAAGCAAGCAAGAAAACAAGAGGCACATAGGAATGCTAACATCAGGAAAATCAAGAACTTAAAGAAAACTTTAAAAAGAACAAAGCAGGTTGTTTTGTTCACCAAGATGATGAGTCACTAAAATTCTTGTGCTAAAAATATAGTTTCATGAAGTTAAATACTTTTAGGAATATAAGGAGATCAGGAAATCTGCAATTATCATAGTACCCTTAACCACACCTTTTAGGTATAGAAAGATCAAATAGACTAAAAAATAAATAATATAGAGAGATGAAAGAGGTAATAAACCTGATTTAAAATATATTTATTTTGTACTTAAGAAGATATGTTTTCCACCAGGGCTTTTTTCCAGGGTGATGTCTCTCCACCCCCCTGCCCCTCACTCTCTCTCTCTCTCTCTCTCTCTCTCTCTCTCTCTCACACACACACACACACACACACACACACACACACGCGCGCGCGTGCGCGCGCACCACACACAAAACCCTAAAAATAAAACTCACTGCCATTGGAAAAAAAGAAGATGCGCTTTCTTTATTTAAAATATTTTAAAACATATAAAATTTATTTTCATTTGATCTTCATGCCCACCTTTTTATAAAAAATAACACTATATAAAAAGCTCAAGTCCTCATTTTATCCTATTCACCTTATTTCTTTCGCCCAAATAAGCACTATTTAAAAGTTAATGTTTTCTTGCTTATTTTTTTCTTTATTTAAAAATGTACAAATAGAAATAAAAAAGTGTTGCCATAAAATGTGGTGAAGAAATGAGGTGGTACCCTGCTATCAGACAGAATGATCTCTGGGGTCTTAAAAGCTTGTCTCAAAACAAGTACAGTAGTCATCAAAAGAGACATCGACTAAGTCTACATGAAAGAAGAACACCAGCCTGTGTAATCCAAGGATTGTAAATAATAAAATCCCAATCCAGAGAAGGGAACAGTATCAGAGTTTAAATTTTAAACACTTAGTTTGCAGAAAGATTTGGATGACAGTGGAAGCCCAAAAACCATTGTAAGGGTCTCCATGTGGATTAAGTCTCTGGTAAATCACCTCTACCATAGTCCAGGGATGTGAATAGCCTTGCTGTCCGACAGAGAGCATTGTAAAATCGATTATGACAAATGAAGTTAGGTTAAAATGTCACATCTTATCATTTCATCTCCATTTAGACTCATTTTTAATTTGTTCTAGTTTTTAATATTCTCTGCTTTCTTGATTGAGGTTTTTCTCTATTTTATTTTGTCATTGTTTGGGGATTTTGCTTCTTGGCTTTGTTTTGTATGTTTTTCAGTATACAAAAATCCAGGTTAGGTAAATCTATAGAGATAGTAACTAGTTTAATAATTGCTAAGGGCATGACCTAGGAGGTTGGGGAGAAATGGAGAGTTAAAAATAATGACTAGAAGAAAGAAGAAAGTTTTCTATAACTGATTGCAATTGTGATTACCTAACTCTTCTTCTTCTTTTTTTACAAATAATTATTTTTGCTTTTTAATTTCAAAATTTTAAGGAAACCACAATTGTAAGTTTCCCTCATAACAATAAAATCAGAAGCAGGAAAATGTAATGATAATAGCTTTACATCTCAACATTAACAAATCTTGAGTCAACTGTTAAAATGGATGCCAGACTTAAAAGATAAGGTAACAAATGATCCCTTAAAGCAGTAGCATATACATCAATACCTTCCCCACCCCAGACTGACAAATAATCTCACTACAGCAAAGACAGCCAAAGCAATAGCAACACACAGTTTCCCTGCATGAAGGAAAACCAAAAGGGAATCTTCCCTTCCCCATTACAGCTCTACTAGAAGGTCACCTTTTTTCCATAAAGGTTTGTCATGCAATTATAATTAAAAATCGATCATAAGAGTATAATGGTGCTTGTATCATTTTCTCCTTCTAGAACTAAGAGCTTGAAGGGTTTAAAACTCTTCTTATTTTCTCCTAGAAGATATTCTTAATGCCAGACCATCCCTTTTTCAATAATAATCCAAACCAAAAAGCTCTGAGCATCAGGCAACTCAAGCAGCGGAAAGTAAAACAAATCCAAATTTGACTAGTGAGCACAAAAAATATTCTGTAAGTTATAGCATACAGCATTCTTGACACACACACACACACACACACACACACTCCAAAAAAATCTAATACAGAGGTTGCTCTAAGGTGGTGAGTAAAACGACGCAGAGGCTTTCAAACAGGATGGTTTTATTCCTTTGTTTTGAAACGATCTTTCTATAGTAGTGGGACATGAAGCAGCAGCAAGGAGGGGAAGGAGAAAACACTTTAGCAATATACAGCACTTCCTTTTGGGTAGAGTTTCTGGAGACTCAAAGGCAGCTAGGATAGCCTCATCAAACACGTTCTTCAGACCTCTCTGTGTGAGTGCAGAACTCTCCACATATTTGACAGCCTTCAGGTCACGGGCCAGCTTTTCGGTAGTCTCTGGGGTGATAGGCTTCTGTTTGTTCTTGGCAAGTTTCTCAGTAGTAGAGGGGTCATCTCTGAGATCAATTTGGGTTCCAACAAGCAAGAAAGGAGTCTTTGGACAGTGGTGTGTTATCTCAGGTACGTACTTTTCTTTCACATTTTCAAATGAGGATGGAGAGACCACTGAAAAGCAGACTAGAAACACATCTGTTTGTGGATACCTCAGTGGCGATAATCTGTCACAATCCTCTTGCCCTGCAGTATCAAAAAGTCTGAGAGTATATGGCTCTCCACCAATCATAACTGTGACTGCATAGTTGTCGAAAACAGTTGGCACGTATCCGGATGGAAATGTGTTGTGCAGGATAACAGGAGGCATGTTTTACCAGCGGCACCATCACCTACAACATACTTCATTGTCTGCATTGCTGAAATAGTTTTGTATCCAATTTTAAATTCAAACTCGATGCTGACCTGAGCTTCTCTGCTGGGACACTGGCAGCACTGTGCAAGGTCTCCTACCTAACTCTTCTTAATATGACCAAATTATTGAATATCATTGTATATAAATTATCTTCCAATAAAAATATTTATCAAGGTATTGCTATGAAATCATAGAAACCTTTATTAAACAAAAAGATTACAATATAAAGCTATTTTTCTCAACATATCCTACATCTATGTTTATATACTTATTTTTTATTGGGGGCTCGTACAACTCTTATCACAATCCATACATCCATCCATTGAGTCGACAAATTTGTATATCTGTTGCCATCAGCATTTTCAAAACATTTTCTTTCTATTTGAGCTCCTCATTTTCGCCTCCCTCCCCCAACCTCCCTCCCTCATGAACCTTGATAATTTTTAAATTATTATTTTTTCATGTCTTACACTGATTGATGTCTCCCTTCACCCACTTTTCTGTTGTCCCTCCGCCTGGGAGGAGGTTATAGGTAGATCCTTATGATCGGCTCCCCCTATCTCCCTCCACCTTCCCCTTCCCCTCCTGGTATGGCTACTCTCAGTATTGATCCTCAAGGGTTTATCTGTCCTGGATTTTCTGTGTTTCCAGTTCCTGTC